GCCAATGAGTTACTCCCATGTCCACAGCACAAATTTCTCTGCCTTATTCACCCCCCCCTCCCCCTTTTCTTATCCCAATGCCATCTCTTCCTATGGAGAGCCACAGTCCTTGCCACCCTTTGGAGGATTTGGAAGGAGAGGAATTCGAGGATCTTTAAAGGTCAGCAGAAGTCTATCTCATACATTTTGGATCTGTTTCGCAACCTCACCATTTTCTGGGTTTCAGATCATAAGCTTCTCAGACTCTTCCCAAGATTTGACTTCTTAGCTTATTGGAAGAGATCATCTCACAACCTCCTAGACTTGCTCAATCTTTTGTGCAGTTCCTCCATAGCCAGGGGATAATTGGACCTAATTTTGATGGTTACTCCTTGGGTAACACCGGACCTTGTGACTTTGGAGGAATCTTCAGGGATGCAGAAGCCAAAACTGTGTCCTCCTTTTGTGGTCCTCTCAGCATTGCCAAGTCCACCTGGGCAGAGGGTCAGGCACTTTGTAAGGTCTCTTAAGGTTTGACCCTTCTTGAGGTGAAACCTTGTCACGGGAGGTGACTCTTAGAATATCATCCTATGGGTGGAAGGAAGTTTCAACACCCTTGGCATCTCTCTCACATCTCTGACTAGGTTTCCCATATTCGCAGGTCTCTGTGAGATGGCTTTTAGCCTATCTGGCGGGAGGCTAATGCAGTGGCAGATGCTCTAGCTAAGGAGCGCGCTACTGCTAGTATTGTCCCACCGGTTCTGAGAATCCTGGTTTAATGTTTATCTCTCTCTCCTTCGCTTCTTTACTACACCTGCTACTTATCTCTTTCCCTTTCTCTTTATGGCACTCTCTTATGTTATCCCTTGACAGCACACTCCAGACTATCTTTTCTTGTTTCTATTGCACAAATCGCGCCTTTTCACCCTGCACTTTGTTCTCACTCCTGACCACTTCTCCCTCTCTCTCTCTCTCTGATAACTACTATCCTTTTTCTATTCCTAACGTCTCTCTCTCCCCCCTCTTTCTCTCTCAGCTAAATCCCTGCCCTGCAAATTTCCTTCTTTCCCCTGGCTCTTACTTCTTCTCGAGCTTCTCCTCTCTCATATTTCTGCCCGGTGCCCGGTCTTCGAATATCTTTATCTGTGTTTGGGGTATTGGAGCAATTTTTTGAATGAGCACCCATCTTGTGGGCTACCACCCTCCAGATGACTTTAAAGGTTTGAGCACCCTATCTGTGGGTTGTTGTATACCAAATTGTTTGATATCTTGAGGTTGGAGCACCCATCTTGTGGGATACCTTTTTTGGCTGCATTCGTTTTTGTGCAAGGCACCCACTTGTGGGATGGATGCGTGAGACTTACTTCTCCTGAGAATTTTGTATTCTTTATAGAGCACGTATATTATCCTTCCTCGGAGGCATAGTTTAGTTCTACTCCCTAGGTCAGAAGACCCATTTGGGAACCACTTACGAATTAGATGATTGTTCTTTTAAAAAAAAATTGAAATTTGAGTTTTCTATCACATAGATCTCACCATCTAAAATTTGGATGGTCTCTATTCAATCTCGAGACATTATTTTTTTTAAGTGCATAGAGGGTACAATTAGGACTTTCTTTCTATTGAGGTTAATCTATTGATTGAAGGGGTTACGTCTCCAAAATTTGGGGTCCGAAAATTTATTCTAGGTGGGATTTTACCTGAAGGAGTAAATTGACATTCTACTCTTGCGGGAGTAGAATATCGTTTGGCTACTTTACATATTAATACATGTTGTGCACACTTAAAGCCAAAAAGAATTATTTTTCTATGTAGTCTTCTACCATATCTACTCAAGTGTACATGCAACTCTGACTATTTTTGGTACAATATGAACCTCATATGAAAAAACATGAAATCAATGTATATATATGTAGGGATATTCTATATATGTAGGGATATTCTAGAATGCATCATACTAATGGTGAACTTAGGATTTCTTACTCCAAAAGTTTTGACAACATAATGCCCTTACAATTATAAAAGTTACATAAGTAATACGTTGTTTGAAAAATTAGAGAAGGGCCTATTTGGAATTTTAAACTGCTTTAAAGATCTTCTCATCGATCAATGAGTCTAAGGAATCTTTTTAAAACTGCAATTGTACTTTGGAAGGATTTGAAAAATACAAAAATTCCTTTTGTAAAATATATGAATTTTATGTATAGTCAAAAGTCATTTTTCAATATAGTAAATTCTAAGTTCAGCATTAGTGAGGTATATTCTAGAATAATGCATAGATATATGCATGTATGTATGTATGTAACCATAGGATGAGTGTCACTGAGATGAGGATGTTGAGATGGATGAGTGGCAAGACAAGAAGGGATAGAGTTCGAAATGAATACATTGGGAGAACTTAGGTGTGGTTCCAATTGGCAATAAGATGAGATAAAGTAGACTTGGTGAGTTGGCCATGTGCAACACAGGCCTAGGACGGCACTTGTTAAGAGGTGAGAGTAGAGCTGGTTTATTGGTTCAAATGGAAGGTTCAAAAAGGCAATGTTTTAAAAAACGGTCTGCCTGGCGCCTAGGCCCGCCTTGGCGGCCTGGACCAAAACTTCGCCCGCCTAGACCTAGGCGGCCCACACGGGCGGATGTACCTGGGCGGGTGCCCAGGAGGGTTAGGTGTTTCTTGTTTTTCTAAAATTACGGGGCGCCTGAGGTTCTGGGCGCCAGCCTAGAGGCCGCCTAGCATTTTTTGAAACGTTGCAAAAAGGGTAAAGACATAGTTGGAATTAGTGAGAATGACGGACCAGGTTTCGTGTAGCTGACCCGAAATAGTTGGAAAAAGGCTCTAATGATTTTGATGATATATATGTATGTGCATATGTATATATTCTTTCAAAATTTTAGAAACAATTTCTATGTGGATATTTTTCATTTCCATGCTTCATGTTGAACAGCATTTCGTCTTTATTTCATTAATTTGTGAAAATATTCATGTAGTTATGAATATTGATCGATACGACTCTATGAATATTAGCCAATCAATATGACTATACATGTGGCTGGATTGATGGTTGGTTGTGGTTCACCCCTTTCCCTGTCAGGGGCCAGATTCTTTGAAGTCCTCATTAGATCTTGTTTGGTACATTTTGTGGGAAAAGACTATATCTCTGGAGGGGAGAGAGATTCTATTGAGATGTTGACGGTGAGCTTCAAGCTCAACTTAATCATTTGCGATTAACAAATAAAAGATACTTAAGCACTTGGTCGCATGGCAACCTATGTCCTGGCAGGGTTGCCGGTGTCCTCTTTGAATCCCTTAGGGAGATACCTATGCCATTCTCTGGGCCACTTTGAGTGTGAAGCAATAATGGCTGAGGAGAGAGCTCTTCTTACGAAGTTTTGGATTTTTTTTCCTTTTTTGTTTACAAGCAAAAATTGGCAAAGGCAACAAATATTCTGCCTCTGTTTTGCACCTAAGAAAAATCAAACCAAGGTTGGAAGACAAAGTGTTCTATCAAATTATAACATGTGGATAATTGCCTGGAAGACCTCTTTTCCACATATTACTGGCCGCTCCGGCTAGAGTTTGCCGAAACCAGAAGAGAAGCTTTAAAAGAGTTTAGAAAATCGGAAGGAAGGTTTGCAAGAACTTGGGAAAAGAAAAATGGTACACTAAATAGGTAAATAAAAGGAATAAATGAGAAAATGGAAGAGAAGTGGCCTACTTGGTTAAGCTGGGCCCACCGGTCCGACATCTGGAGTTGCGTCTGGATCATAATGTTTTAGTCCATAGGGATTGTTCCTGTCTTTAGGTGTGCTTGAGTCAGAGATGCTCACTGCTGAAGTTTGAATGGAATTGGTGGAGCATTGAGACCTTGGAGGTGAGGGTGCCTGTGGTAGTCTAGGAACCACCTAATGGTGTGCCATACGCTGATTTTTTTTTTGTTGTGGTCTGAACAAAGCTGGGCTAGGACTTGCTGGATTTTCAGAGTGGTTACAAGTTCTCGTAGGTCTAGGGCTAGGATTTGGAGTTGCATGGTTTCTAGGATTTGAGGGGTGAAATGTTAAAAGGGACAAATTAGGGCAGGACTGAATAGGACCGAGTCTGCACCCTAAAGTGACTGGAGAAGATCAATTTATAGAGCTCAGGGGGTGTAATTAACGTCCCCCGTGAGGCGGCTCAATCTGAGCCGGCCATCTTGCAGACACGACACTCGATTTGCAGGATGTGGGGCTTCTGCCTGGGGACGCTTCTAGTGCATTTCAGGCAGTTTGTGAGTGTGACGCGGCATTTGTTGTGTTTGACGTGACTAACCTCACTTAAACCAAGTTTTATTGATAAAACTAGGCCAAAATAGTCTCTGCAGTGAAGAACAATGCCTTGTGATTTAACCCTGTGACTCGAGTTGAGTAGCAAAAGAGACCGGGATGGAATTTCTTTAACAAACTTGCTTTAACCATAGCTTTCGAACCATACGTTAGAATTGAGTGATTCTTGGACTGTGGAAAGCTTAGGATATTCTCTAAAGGGAAAGGTTTCTATACTTCCCTACAGCATAGAAGAATTATGCTGCCCCTACCATCCAGCCGTCCAATTTTGATCAAGAGAGCCACTCACCGTTTGATCATAGATCCGACGTCGTAAAGTATTTTATTTTTAGTTTTTTTTTTATACAAATTATATGAATATGAAATTTGATACGTGCCATCTTCTCATTGGAGCGTACCTATAAAAAATATTAAAAATAATTTTTTGATAAAATATAATGACCAAAATACACCTTGAAACTTTCAGGGGTATTTTGGTCATTATATTTAATCAAAAATATTTTTTTTATATTTTTCGCTAGTTTGAGTTTAATAGAGGATTGGACGTCCAAAATTTGGTGTCAAAATAGTTTATAAAAAAAAATTAAAAATAAAATAGTGTAGAGACGTGACATTGTAGTTGGGGCAATCTTAGTCCTCCATTCAAAATGGACGGTTGGATAAGGGGAAGTATATAAGTTTTATGCTTTAGGGGAAGCATAGAAAGCTTGCCCTTCTCTAAAGCTTAGAATCAAATTCTGACAAATTTGGATTATTATTATTTTTTATATAGCGATGGGGTTTATGACTGTTGGACTATAGGGTTCAATTCCTGGGCTTTTTGAATTCAGATTGGTGCACGTGGTAGTTTTCTGAGCCTCTTGGGCTTGAGGGGGTCTGGGATGACTAGGTTACGGTGTTTTGTGAGTTAGATTCTGGTTTTAGGATTTAGGAGTTCCCTTGGCCAAAGTAGGGTGTTTGCATTTCTTTCCTTTCAATTGTTGTTTAATTTGGTTGTAGAAAGGGTCTCCCTTAGTGTCATCAGATGAAAGCATGAAAGGAGGCACATGTTTCTCCCATGAGTGGCTCCTATGCTGGTGAAAGTTTGGAAGTTTGGTAGTGAAAAGCTAGTCTTCCTACCATTCAAAAAATAAAAGCTGGTTCATTTGTGCATATTCTTCTGGCTTAAAATGAGGTGGCCGATGGATTAGCCATGGAATGTCCCCCTTTGGTTATTGCCTATTTTGTTCAAGTTCCCTTCCTCTTTGCTGTGCTCTTTCATCATCATCTGTAGATTGTTGTTATTTATTCTTTTGATTTCTGCAATGTTTTCTCCTTTAATTGTATTTTTTACACGTTCTGAAACATTTACTTGAGAATGGATAAAGAGAAGTTGCACCAAACATTTCGTGGCTGTGGAACTGTTACTTCTTTATTGTCAGATTAAAAATTTTACATTTACGAACCATTCTTAGAGCTTGAATGTTCGTTTCCTTTATGGCATGGCCTTCAATTTGGGCACGTCACAAGTAATCATCTTATAAAAAGAAAATTTGCATCTAACTCTATAATAAAGATCTTTACCATGGGGTACAACTAATCTATACAATCTAACTGCCTACTCACATCCAATATCTGAATAGAAAAACATGTTGGAAAAGAAAAACCCATCTTGTAGAGATATATATGTCATGTGTACTTTTTATTGTGCAAACTGAGATACTTGCAATTTCCCTTCAGTTATGAAAACCTTTAGAGAAGTAACCACTTGTATTTGGATGTTTATCCAGTTCTTTTTCTTATGGTGATTGCTTACCATTTGGGTCTCTATCATTGGGAGCTTTTGTTACTAGCTGTTGGAAGTTGCATATAATTTACTTACTTTTACCTTGAGCAGGTCCTAGATGAGGCAGATAGATTGTTGAACATGGAATTTGAGAAAGAAATTGATGAAATTTTGGAAGTGATTCCGAGGGAGCGAAAAACATTTTTATTTTCAGCCACTATGACTAAAAAGGTTGATGAAACTTGGATTCTACTGTTGTTTCACTTTAGTGTTACAGATTTGTTGTGCTTTTTGTTAGCTACATCTATAATTAACAGCTTTGTTTCATTTTCCTTTGCCTCTTCATTGACCTTTATAAGAGTGGCTTATGACTGGGTATTTTCTGATGACGTGAGACAATTTTGTCTGAAATAAGACAGAGTAGGACTCATCTACTCGATTTCAGGTCAATGGGTTGTGAAGTCCATCGGACCTTTGAGGCATCGGCCTTTCTGATCATGTTACTGCAATTTGCCACATTACCCTGTGTTTTGTGGGTAGATATTGGCCTGAAACCCATCTACATTGTCGCCGATTGGTACAAATGTCTCAAGTATGAGTTTTACAGACAACATAGATTTACAAGTATCTCCTTTTTTTCTTGAGCTTTTTAAGACCACCTGCAAAATTAAGTATCGGGGTTGGGGTCCTGGCAGCTGCTACCACCACCTTGCCTTTTTTCTTCCTGTGAATTCAGTTTGACTGATGCATTGAATTCAAAAAGTTTTTCTAATTCTGATGCTTGACTTAATCGATATCTCAGGTTCTTTACCTTGGTGACTTTTAATATTCTTCTTTGAAATACCGCACTACAGAGTTCATGTGTATGCTTTTATATCTTCTGGAAAATATGTGAATTTGGACTTTTTCCTTGAATATTGTATTCTATATTTTCTCACTAAACTTGGCTTGGCTTATTTTGATCTATAAACAAAAATGCATTTTCAATATCAGGTGTCCAAACTTCAGAGGGCATGTTTGAAGAACCCTGTGAAGGTAGATTCAATGTATCCTTTTCTGGGATATTTAATTTGCTGTTTCATTCTATTCTGAACATGATCCTCAGAATGGTAATTGACATATTTCTGATATAGCTATTTGGCATCATTTTTGGGATATAAATTTTCCCTTATTAACTTCTTTGGTGAATTTGCTTTTCAACTTTCAGGTTGAGGCATCGTCCTCAAAATATTCTACTGTAGATACTCTTAAGCAGCAATTTTGCCTGGTTCCTGCAATTTATAAGGTTCATATCCTCCCATTGTGCACTTTCAGTACTCTATTTCTTTTAAGGAGATGGAAAATGGACACCAATAATCCATTTGGATCATCACTGTCCAATTTAATGAGGGATGCTTCTAGAGTGGGATCTACCAAAGGGTGATGTGCTGTTCTGATGGGTCCCACCCTCTCCATTGTTGTCCATTGCAATTGGTGGTCACGAGTCCTGACCTCAATGGTTGTGGTTTTCATAATTCATTGGAATTTGTTTATGAGAAAATTGTTTTATCGTTGGTTTTCCACGGTGCAGTGGCTGCCCTGTTCTTCTGTTTGTACTATATGGTCATTTGTGGCTTCTAATTTCAGTTTTCTTCGCTCTCGCAACATTTCGTGGCCTAGTTAGGTTGATTATTTTACTTATCTGCAATCAGGATTGCTATCTGGTGTACATTCTGACCGAGATGTCCAAGTATACAGCAATGGTTTTCACTCAAAAGTGTGAATCAACTCGACTTCTAGCCTTGATGCTTCGTAACCTTGGTTTAAGGGCTATCTCAATCAGTGGTCAAATGAGTCAGGTTATTTGCCTCTCTTGTTATCATGTTGCTCATTCCTTGGTCCTTGGTAAAGCTGTGTTTTCTTTTGCTTATGGATTGTTTTTTTACTGAATTACTCTGACAGCCGAAGAGATTGGGGGCCCTAAACAAGTTCAAAGCAGGAGAGTGTAACATTCTTGTATGCACAGATGTTGCTAGCAGAGGCCTGGATATCCCTTCTGTAGATATGGTGATCAACTATAATGTGCCCATGGATTCCAAGGTTAGTTTTTGAAGTTAAATTGAATTGGTTTGTCATTTGGTTAATGAACATAGATTAGTTGCTTATCTTTTGTGCTTTCTCATGCCAGCTGTTTAATGGCTCTTCATCCTTAATGTCTAGGTGAGTGAAAGAAATAGAGAAATAAAGGCATCACATAATCAGGACTTCTAAGCTGTTGATAAGGGCATTTGGTCATTTTGATTGATGACATGATTAGCTGAATGTGTTTGATCATGTTATACTTTCCCTAAGATGTATTATGCTATTTTTGCTCCCTCGTGGGATGGTCTCCATATGCTGGCCATAAATGAATCTCCTTTGATGCACTCAGCTGAAAATGTGTCGTCCATTATTCCAGCAAAGTGACACCAAATCTGGTCCCATCCACTATTTCATCTATTCTTTGAGAATGTCAATATTATGTATCTTAGTTTAAACTTTACTTAGTGTTGCAGCAGCGTTGCGTTTGCTGCTTCTCTCCAGTTTGTCAGCAATTATTGTTAGCCAATCATATTTGCATTCTTTTATAGATTGCAATTGTATTTGCATTCGAGTGTAGGATTGTTTTGGCCAACTATATCTGCATTCTGGTTATGGGTAACTACTAACAGTTATGTTTGTATATCAGAATTACATTCACAGGGTAGGCAGGACAGCACGTGCTGGCAGGTCGGGGATTGCCATTTCGTTGGTGAATCAGTACGAAGTAGAGCGCTATAAACAGATAGAGATTCTCATTGGTGATGACCCCTTCTATCCCTTGAATCTTTGATATGGTGCTCAACTACTACTGCTTTGTGTTCTACACACCTTGATGATTATCTTTTCTTATAGAGTTTGGAATTGATTCTTTACAATAAAAAGAAAAAGGAAAAGAAAATCCTAGTTTCTAATCTCTTTGTTGACAGGGAAGGAGCTCCCTGAGTATCAGGTGCAAAAAGACGAAGTCTTGCTACTGTTAGATCGAGTTAAGGAGGCCACGAAACTCTCTCATGCGGTATTCTTGCTTGTTTCCTCTTTAAGCATATGTTTTTTTATGTCTTCTTCATCAATTGAAATATGATTTTGGAGTTATCGTAATATTTATTCTTCATTTGTCCTGGGGGGTCTTTGTTGCATGTAGAGAATCAATGAGAGTCCAGGGAACAAGAAAAGAAGGAAAGTTGATGATGACGATGATGAAGATAGGAGGTTTGCTCCCAAAAGCACAAAGAAGTACAAAAGGTCGAAATACTGATAATTCTGTTTGCGTTCAGCTGTTGAAGAGAGAGAGAGGGCAATTTTGTTCTGCCACTATCATGGGAGTAATTTCGTTATGCGAATTTCACTCCCAAAGATTGATCGAGAAAGATTCCATCTTGCGAATTTCTGACTAATTTCTCAAGGGAAAGCAACCTTCTTTTTTCACCATTTATATGATGCCATTGCATCGAGTGACTTTAGGTTCAAAATGTCGTTATAGAGCAGTGATCCAATGCAACGGTTGTATCATAGTATAATGGAACGACACTTCTAAAAAATATATTTGTGGTATTTGTTGTATGAGCTCAAATTTTGCACACACTCTCTTTATCTCAATAATCAATCATCCCAAAAAAAAAGGTGTTCAATTTGAACGTTAGATATATGATCAAAATGAGACCCTTCCAAAAACGAATTCAGACCATTTATTTTTGTGAATTTCAATATCTTAGCTTTTATAAACTGAAAATCATTGTCTTTTTTAACATTGTTCATCTAATGATAATAAAGCCATTCAAAAAAATTGAAAATGAAAAAATCTTTTTAAAGCCTAGATCTAAGCATCTCACCAAAATGAACGGTCTATATATTAATTGAGCTAAAAAAATACTTTTTAGGTTGTTTAAAATTTTTTTTTTTTTTTTGTGATTGATCATTAGAATGAGAAGAGTGTAAATTTTCAATTTTGAACCAAACAAATAGGCGTAAGATGGTTTTTTAAAGTTGTTGCATCATATTACTATACAAACAGTTGTATGAAATCATTGCCCGTCGTTATACATTTATTATGATGGATCACCTTTAAGTTTTGAAAAATTATATGATTTATGTATTTGTCCCTTCCAATACTTAGGAAAAGGAGTTGCCATAGGTTCGTGATTTTGATAGGCTTCCAACGATCTTGATTTGACTAGGTAGAGTGACTGTTAAAGTATTTTTAAGGGAAAATCGTAGACGACCCCCTTGACCAAACTCCCCATATTGATATGCGGTCACATTTTCGTAAAAATTAGTGTCCCCAACCCACAACCCTGTTTTTTAGAATTGGCTTGTTTGTTTGGCATTTCCAACAGTGGACTGCAAGTTTTTGACCATCTCTAACAGTGAGGGCCAGTTTGGTAATACCAACAACAAACACACAATGTTTAGTGTTTTTAGTAATGAATAAAATTTATGAAAAACATCTTTTTTAGGGTTTGATATTTGCAATACTGAATGGCCTTGTTCGATGTTTTTAATGTCGGATATATTACAACTATCCCGCATTAGAAATACGGGACTTATTATAAGCAAGGAAAAAGTTTATTCAAGTGTGAGGCTCTAAACAATTAAATTAAATTAAGGTGCATCTCAAAAATTTATTAAAAAGGGATGATGTGATGCTGAAAATTTCTTAATTCAATCATTTTAACCTCAAGATGTATGGACATGAGAAATTCTTTTTTCAAGTATTGAAAATAGTGCACATTGTAATGTATTATGTATACCATCAATATTCATGATTTTTAAGTGTTCATAGATATGTTTTATCTACACTATTTTTTAACTTTAAATTTAATTATTAGAGATGAAATTTTTTTTTCAGGCCATCATAAAGATTTTTAATATTTAAAACAACATATTTTGACATTATTTAAAGGTACACCCTATTTTGATTGTTTAGAGCCCTGGCCGTATACAAACCACATCTTATAAGTAATAATGATTGTTTAAATTCTTACTATTTAATCAGTGTAATAAAATTTATGTAATTTAATTAATTTTATTTGTTGTTATTTGTATTCGAATGTATTTTTTTCAATAAAATTTCTTGAAATAGAATTTATCATGGAATATTTATTTTGTCATAAAATATTAATATATGGAAATATTTAATTATATTTTCTATTTTATTGAATTTTTTTATTTTTGTAATTTAAAAATTAGAATATAAAATTATATATAAAGGAAAGAGTTTATACAGAGCTGAGGCTCTAAACTAAACAATCAAATTAGAGCCCACCTCAAAAATTTCATTAGAAGATGTTGTTTTTATGCCCAAATATCTTCAAATTGATCATCTCAACATCAAGATACATAGACATGAGAAAAAAAATAGATTTCAAGTTTTGAAAGTAATGCACCTTGGAACGCATTTTTGGACCTTTAATTTTCAAGATTTTCAAGTTTTCATAGATTTGCTTAATATAGACTATTTTTTGAAGCTTTAAATTTTATAATTAAAAATAAATAGATTTAAGGCTATTACAAATATTTTTTTGTATTGAAACCACATTTCTCGACACTATTTGAAGATGCACTTTACTTTGATTGTTTAGAGCTTCGGCTCTTTACAAACCACACCCATATATAAAAGGCAAAAGTTTATATAAGATTGCAACCTTAAAATGTAGAATTGAGGTGCACCTCAAAAATTCATCATAAAAAGCTGATTTGATGTTGGAAAACCTGTTAATTGATCATCTCGATATCGAGATGTATGAATATGGAAAGAAAAAAGGATTTTTGAGTCCTAAAAACATTGTATCAGTTTAAGGTTTTAGGGTTAGGGATGAAATAGATTCTCAATCCATTCGAAGAATTTTTGACACCAAAAATTATATTTATGATAAAATTTGAAGGCGTCCCTTAATTTGGTTGTTGAAGGTTGCAGCCTTATACAAACCACACCTTATATAAAATGATAGAATGGTAGAGTAGGAATCTAAATAATAGATTCGGAAAAATAGAATGGAAATTTAGAAATAGAAAATTAGAAATAAAACATTGAAAGATAAAATAAAAGATAAAGGAAATTCTATTGAAAAATAAATTACATTCAAGTACAAATAACAATAAATAAAATAGAAATAATTAACATTAATTGCATTACATAAATTTTATTTATTAATTAAATAATAAATTTTTAATAATAATAATTACTTACAATAGGTCTGGTTTTTTTAATATCGGAAAACTCCGAAAGTTTGAGTTATCGGGGATTAGAAACACCAACATGTTTGCTTGGTTTTGGTAGGATTGATAAGGGCAATTCTGGGAAGACAGGAGAAAAGGCCTCGGAATTGGGGTGGTCGCTGTGGTGTTTTTGCAAAAATGTGACCCCATGCTGTAATAATCGTGTTGAAATCCAATCCATATGGATTTTTTTTCCTTTTTTTTTCATCCACCCTTCCAAGTAAAAATGCAAAAACCCGGATCAGTGGGGAAGATTGTACACCGATTGATCCTAACCGCCATTTGGATCGATAATCTGGATTGGAAATCATTGGGTTTTAGAATACTATAGAGGTAAAGATGGATGTTTAATGTGTGGGAAGCCGTCAATGCAGGATTGTGTACCCGGATGCATAAAACATGTGATTTAAGTAAGTTTGCACACTAAAACAATCAAAGTAAGGTGTACATCCAAACTTTGTCTAATTTTGGTATAAAAAATTCTTAAGATGGTGTAACAATCTATTTTTACGTCTACCTATACTATTTTAAACTCTAAAAATAGTTTAAACTAACTAGATCTATAACCGCTTGAAAATCTTGAAAATGGATGGTCCAGATGACGTGTTGCAAGATGTACTATTTTTAAGATTTGAAATGTCTTTTTAGTATCTATATCTCTACATCTCGATGTCGAAATGATAAATTAAATATTTTTCCAACATTAAAACAAACTTTTTTCAAGGATTTTAGATGTGTACCATTATTCTATATTTTAAAGTGTCAACCTCATATATATTGCATGTACTTTTGTGGTTTTTTTCTTTGGTTTGGGTCTTTTTTTAGTAAGGCGAACACAAAAAATTGTTTTTCTGAAACTGAAAAACTCTCCAATCGATGATCTATGCCTTGAGATGAGGGAGAGAGGCTTATATAAGGCATCAATCCTATGCTATAAAAGTAAGGCGCACACTGAAAACTTGTCAAAAAATGTTTGTCCGAAACTTAAAAACTCTCCAATTGACGATCTATGCTTTGAGATGCATGGATATGAAATTCAAGTCATCAAAATATTATCTTGTAATCAAGACCTATTTTCCAGAATTTGACGCTTTTATAGATCTATTTGTACACTATTTTTAGAGCTATAAATTTCATGTAAGGCTATCGGGATTTCAACACGGGGACTGCATCTTCATGCAGAGTCTAGATGTCACTGATATTTTCTTTGATTATTTGAAATTGGTATTTCATATGAACCATGTATGGGCATGTGCAAAAAAGATATGTTACACCTACTTGCATACTTCGGGTCAATGGAAAACCCAGATGTTTTATTTTTTATTTAAAATTTTTAAAGTATTTTTATGTGGAATTGAGGGCCTCCAACATCAAAAAGGCGCACC